TTTCTGTGATGACTGCCCTTGCACTGTTCACCATGTAAAAACTTGTTCATTATGCTTCAGAAGATTGGAGACTGTTGAGAATTAGGCTTGGGGTTGATTAATGATTGTGCATTGAGTCCCCTATACAGAATTTTATTGTTGTTAATAACCATATGATCAATAAATATGAGAGATGCCCTCTCAAAAAAAAAAGAAAAAACACTGAGTGAGGAGTGATTCTGTATTTAGTGGAGAGAGTCCTTGAATTTGCAGACATTGGGTAGATTTTGGGCTGGGGCCGGGGGGGAAGGCAGAAACTTTTTGTAAAAAAAACATCTGTGTTATCTTCTGCAGGGAACATTTGTTGAGCTAATTTTCTATTATGGTCATCCTCTGAATACTGTTCTACCCTGGGGTGGTCTCAAATATTGCTGAGTGAAGAAGGGACTGACAAATGATTCAGTGAATAAATAAGTGATGGTGTCTGTAGTGCTATGCCACGATCTAGTGTCCATTTCAAATGCCTTTGCCATGCTTACCTCTGATCTGGCCGGAATCGGGCATCCGTCGGTGGAAGGAGATCTTTTAGTACAGGATCTAACTCGTTGAGCTCAATGGCAAACCTTGTGAAGCCATAGTAGAGCTCATAGTTGGTTGGCATGGAACCTGGAATGAGGCCAAAGAACCACTGAGAGGCAAAGAGGTTTAAGGAATGTGCAGAAGTTGACTTAACCCAGGTGCTATACTATATTAATACTATACTAATACCCATACTAACAACCAATTCATAGCTATAAACATTAGATTATGACTTTTTTTTAAATGAATGAAATTGGTTATTTTTTGCTAGATGGGTAACTTTATGTTGATTATCAGAACTGACAGATTCATATACTTCATAAAATTAGCCTTTAAAATAAAACTTGGCACATATTAGTATAGTCTTTACTGGCTAAACTATGCCATAACTTTTCTCTCAAATATTTAATTGTTAACTAAATGCCAGGGTGAGTAACTATGAACATTAAGATTTCATCAGAAACATAATTTACTTTCTTTTAGAAAAGAAAATGATGCAGATCTAAATTAATATTTATCTTGGTGCATTTAAACAGAACTCAAAGACAGGATCTTTGTATACTTTGCTCACTGATGTATTCCAAGCTCAGAGCAAAGCCTGCTGCAGAGTTAGTGCTCAATAAATAAATGCTGAATGAATGAACAAATCACTCTACTAGCAGGAAATTTAAATACTCATTGAGGTCTCTTAGGAAACCAACAGCTAAGTTTAAAGTTCAGCCTTAACTGACAAAATTCCAATGAACAGAAATGCCATGTGGAGATTTGTTCTATTTATTCTTGATATTCAATTACATGCTAGTGTACTACCAGAACGCTCTTGAAGTCTTTTATTAAATGTTAACATACAGCAGCTTCTTGCTGCTTCAGTGAAAAGATCACTTATTTCAGTGAATCATTGAATTTGAGGTTTGCAGGCTCTCTTTTGTTTTATTAAAGCAGAGAGTAAATAACGAGAGTAAGGATTTAAGTTTGTATAAATCAGTTATCTAAACTCTTTAATAAATACACCTAGGTTTTAAAGGTAGCCATTGCACTTAGAGTAGCTTTACATGAGGTTCAACCTGACCACAGGTCAGATTTGGCCTAAATTTTACAACTCTTTATTATCAAACATTGGGACTTATATAATTTATATGTTAAGTATAAAGGAAACTATACTTGCCTTCTGCATCTGTATTTTTAATTTCACTATTAAAGATAACAGAAGGTGAATTGCATACGCTGGTCTCTCATTCCTTTCCTTCTGTCACTCCTGGCACTGTGTGGAGGCAACACACTCATGCCCATCTCACCTGGCCTCCAGATGCACTTTGCAGAAGGGGCCACACCACAGTAGAGCCCTTCATGCCACTTTCCAAACAGCCGGTGCACCACCTTCCCCTCCTGGTCCATCACAACTCCCTGGACTTCATTCACATTAGAGTTCCAGTAATTCACCTGGAAACACCAAACCCCAATTAAAACACACAATCTCTTTAATAACACCAACCCATATTATTTCTGTATGTATGGAAAATGAACTTCGGAATTCCTCAATCGAACCGTTGTCAGAAGTCTATCTCAAAATGTTTTATATGGGAATGGGGGCTTTCTAAGTGTCAGTTGGTTTAACTTTTAAGAAAGGGATGACCTCCACTCCCTGCTATCGCATGGAAGCACAACACAGAGAAGGCTCAGATCCCATCCTAATAGTGTAACTATTCTTAATTAATTACTACTTAATTAGTAATTATCATTAATTTATAGGTTAGTAATTTCTTCCTTAGATCCTCCTGTCTCAAATTTTCCTTTTACTTATGGATTTTTAATGAACTTCAATGGGCAATAGTGTAGAAGTAGTTTGTGAAATAATTTTCACATTATTTGTCAATGGCTAGATTTGATCGCGAAGACCCTGCTCTGACACTCTTCCAACCGTGCTCCTCCCGGGGGGTGAGAAGTCTGGGCCAGATGCCCTGTCCAATGGCGCTAAGCTTACTTCATGGCCTGCAGAGGCTTTGCCTTGGACTCATCCACCCAAGGGCAGGCCACCCACCAGTGTGTGAATCCTTAGGCCGATGGGGTGGCATGAGGTGCTGTTTGAGGTGGGTGGGGACGTGACTTGGATGTGTGGGCTGGGCTGCCTATGTGTGCGTGTGTGAGGCCCCGTGATGTGCATCACAGAGGAAGAAGTGGGGAGAAAGCACGAAGGTCGTGGGCCAGGACTGGCTTTCCTGCAGGGCCAGGTTTCAGCTCAGAGTTCTGAAGCATTCAAGCTGGCCATGCGAATTGTGTTATAAAAGGTGTATTTGTCTAAGTGAAAGGACAGCACATATTTGACAGTTTGTAGGCTTGATTTACATATTTTAAATATTTACACATTCGTACAAACTGCCATTTGTACTCTTGCCCTGAGCTCTGCAAGTATTAGGAGCAGGCCTGAATCGAAGCTTCTATCAAGCTCGATGTACACCTCTGCTGTCATTGCCCAGTCAGAGCAAATAATGGTCCTGGCTCTTCAGTTTTGAGCCACTAGGTGAGATTATAAGAAAAAATGAAAAAAGAAAAACATCTTGAGTTCAATTAAAGATATTCAATTAAAACTAACAATCTTTCAGTATGGCTTAGAAGGATTTAAGTAAGTACAGAAAATTTTGAGTTTAAGACTCCAATATCTTACCTGTTTCTACCGCATTAGAATGAGATCAGGAGTAGAATAGATAGAGGGGAGGTTTGTGTATCGTGATGCATTCTTTAGCACACGTAAACAGACGTGGGGATGATACTGTGCTCCACGTCAGACAGAGGCTGAGGGAGAATGCTGTTCTGTGCGCATTTCTCTCTCTGACATCTTTTCTTGTTAATAAAAGGTAATGCTTTTTGTTGAACTTATTTGGGTTAAATAATGGCAGAGTTAGATAAGCCTGTAGTGACTGGGAGCTATCATCTGCATGCATCCTCAGAAAAGAACAACTGCACTATAATTAGCTCCCTGAAAGAAGATCACTTGAATATGTTGCAATCAAGCAGGAATAGAAATAGAAATAGAAACCAGAAGACTTGTTATAGGCAAGAAGTGTTTTCTGGAATTTTCCTTAATGAACTACTGACTGGCTGCTTAAAAAGGAAACTCTTTAATTTTTTTTCTGCTTTCAGAGGTTGCCTTTTCTGACCTCCACACATTCAGAAGTCTGCATGCCTTAGTAACTCCTCCAGTTGGTTCTGTTTTTTATCCAATATGTCCCTAAGGATCAACAATACAGGACAGACTCACTTGCTGCTGTTTAAGGCAATGGTTTCATGTCTTCCTTAGGAAGCAATTTTTCATTACCATTGTGAGATATCACTTACCTTGATAAATGTGAGTTTGCAAATGCAAACACTGCTTTTAGTATTTCTAATGGTTATTTCTCCATAATGCTCTATCCATCTCCTCCCACTGAGAATGTTGTGTATGCATGTGGTGACTTTATTCCACACGTAGAAATCTCCATACCTAGTGAAGAATACAGTACTGATTAAAAACAATTAAGGTCACAAATATTTATTATTGTTTCTACCAATGAGAATATTCTTGGGCCAAAGTTTCCTTTTCCCTCATTTTCCTCTCTTTGTTGTAAGTTCCTATGTGGCCAAGGACATTTATGACATGATTCATTCCTTTAAGGAAGATTTCAGTGCTTTCTATGGGCCATGTGCTAAAGCTTCCAAGTTGAATAGAGGCCACTGCTTTCTTTCCTGGAGCCAAGCTGGAGCCTTTCGTAGGGGTAAACGTATCAACAAATATTTAAAATAAAGTATGATGAGTAAGTGTTATGAGAACATAGAAGGGGAGTCCTTGGTCTTTAGATCAGCCTGGAATATGGGTCAATGTCAAGGACGACCTGCTAGAGGAGGCTGGGTTTGGCTTAAGTGTGGAAGATGGATAGGAGGTCACTGCAGTGTGGGGAAGAGCATGAATAGTCCCTGGATCTATGATGAACTTAAAAGTGAAATTATAATTTGCATGGAAAAGAAGTGGGTAAAAAGAGACTCTTTCATATAAAATGCAAACTCATACAGTGACTGGGACAGACAGGTACCTGATGTGGATGGATGAATGCAGGATGTGAAGAGATAAACAAGAATCTTTGATACATATGTGTTAAAGTTCTCATTAGCTTTTGTGGGAGTCCATTTTCAAACTTTGGTTAAGTTAACAGAAGCCTTAGCATACAGGGGAATGTATGCTTGGCACTTTCTAGAGTTTCAAATACCCAATTCTGATTTGCAAATGCTGATAAGAGACCAGGAAGATGATGAGAGCAACCTACTTTGGAAGCATGACATTCAGGGTTCCAACAGGCAGGATTTCCATCGACTTCCCCCAGAACTTGTTTTTCCATCTGATATCTAAATGATGTAGGCAGAGGACAAGAACTATATACTCCACATCTAAGCATTTATTCTTTAAAAACTGTTTGTATTGCACTTTACATTTTACAAAGAATTTTGGTAGCAATACTGATTCTATAATAGGCATTTGACACATTAGATGAACAAGTATGGCTCAAGTGAAAAGATTAACTGTGAACTAAAAAAAAAATCCACTATCTATTTTTCTCTATAATACATGTGCCACACTTGTTTTCAACTAATGAAACTGTGAAAAGTCAGGAATGACATGTATGTGTGTGTGCGTATTCATATACACATGTACACAGACTCTACTATGCTTTAATATCTAGATGAAAGTTGTTCTATGTTTTAACTAAGTGGTGAAAACAGTTAACATATGCATTAAAAAAAGTGTGTAGTAAAAATAATTGCAGTATGACAATACCACTGATTTACATACACATTTATTTGAAGAGTTATATGATTTGGGAGGACAGTAAGAAAACAAAATCTCTAAATATAGATAGGGTAAGATTTATAAGAAAGTGGGATTAACTTAATGAACATGTTCCTACAGTGGTTATTAGGATATAGCCCAGCACCCAGTGCTTTATCTCACATAATGACTATGGTTTCTGTGTGGATGCTCAGGTTTACCTGTGCATTTATAATAACCACCTGGTTCCATTTTGATGAACTAAGGGAATTTAGGGCTGTCCATGAAATTTCTGACTCTCTGATATGACCAAGAAATTAATTACTCTGCAATAAGGTCCAGTCACAGTGCTCTATCATGCTGTGTGCTTGCAGGTTGAGGAAGTACATATGAGAAGAGTCTTTTTGTGAGTGATGAAGCACCCTTCCAAACAAGAAGGAACAATTTATACTTAATAGTCAAATACACAAATATATATTTTTCTTTCTTAAGGGATTTTGAAAACCTTTATTTTGGCAAGTCTGTAACATTCTGACTGAATAATGGGCGGGCAATGATTAAGTAGAGACTTTAATCCAAACCCCTGAGCCTCAGTGGGTTAAAGACCGGAAATCACTGCAATGTTTACATATCTAATCAGACTGTGACTACAGATGACATCCATGGAGCCTGCTTTTGGGGGTTGAGATCTCTTTGCACACCCTCAAGAAGCTAGAAGGCAGCAGCTCTAACCTCCACGTTACATGAGGTACGTACGTATCTGAGGCACAACGGGCTAGTGATAGCCCTGAGCCCGCAGTCAGCAACGCTCTGCTGTCCCACAGGGCTTTGCTTCTTAGGTAAACAGCCTCATCTCCTGGATGATACGGTTTCATACTTAAACCAGGAAATATAATTTCTCAAACTGCACTCCACACCAATTACTAACATTCTCTGAATTACAAAGGTAAACATCTAACCTGAGTACAGTGTACCTTTGCACACTCGAAACTCTTTCATCAGCTCATCAATTGGACTTTTAGGTTATAATTGAAATACACACCTTGCCAAAACACAAAATTCTTGGATTCACAGTGACAGGCAGAAATGGGTGGATGATGGCTAACCTAGTAATTAAAAACAAAGGAGGCAATGTCATCAGTGTTAAAACTTCCATAAGTGGTCATTTTATTACAACATATATTGGCTACTCCCTAGTACCAACTAGTCAACTCATCCATCTCTATTAGTAAATTATTCTCAAAATGTATAAGTAAATTATTGAATCTTTAACTTTTGAGACTTCAGAGTTAAACACAGAAAATTTATATATTTAGACGGGGCAACTTTATAGATAAGTCAAGTGAGTCTTCTGTTAAAATTTTATATTCTTCTCCAGAGGTTTTATCAAAAAGCTGTTTTCATGGTCAATGTCTTCCCTACAGTGTCTACATAGAAACTTCACTGAGTCTACTGGGACTTACCTGTTCTGAGAAAAATCGGAATCCCTTGTCCTCTCTAATGCATTCATAAGTCTCCCCAAGGACAGGGTTGAATGGCTTACTTCCTGCTCTGAAATAGGTGGAGCAATATCCTGAAACTGCAAATGCAGCAATAAGAACCTGTTAAAACATTTAAGAAAGGAAAATAATATAGGAGAGACTACTTCCAGGTCTGTTTGTCCCTTACTCCTCTAGGTTTTACACACCCCTGCCAAACAGGTGCTGATTTGATGGTATTTCCATTTTCTATTACTTGCACAGACTCTTTATAAACTCATGGTGAAAACAAAGTGAAAATGAAGCTAACATCCTCCCCTGGGAACTAGCAGGCAACTGAGGCCAGTATTTTTCAGTCATCTGTCTCCCAATTTCCTGACCATCATAGAGTCCAAAGGTTCTGAAATGCAGCTTATAGGTTACATCATTTGTGTAACTTAGCTCCATGTGCAGGAGGGCTGGGGCTACTGGTGCTTTTCAGAGGGCAGATCAAGTTTTGCACGGTCCTATGGAGAAGGTAGCGGTGTGGGAAAAGCACAAACAGGAGTTACTGTCTGAGACCTACGTTCCTAAACAAACGGGCTCTCCTGGTATCCAGGAAAAACAGACAAAGCAAATCCAGGCAAGTCTTAAACCTGTAAGGAGGGCAAGACCCTTACATCTTAAGTTAGAAACACTCGGAACTGAGGATAAGCCACAAAGCGTGTCTTCCGGCAGGGGTATCTGGAACTTCCTGGCCCTGCCCAATTTCTGCAGATGGACTGATTCCTCTCTTACCTACACAGTGAGAATGTTATGCCAAGACCAAGTGTGCCATCATAATGAATTCTGCCTTAGCCTGGGTCTGGGGTGGACAAGTCCCCGAAGGCTGCTGCTCTGTTATTTATTACCATGCGCTCATGCGGGTTGTCGGTTTCTGATGCCTTGTCCAGAAGCTCACTGTATTCCATCTCCTCACACAGATGCTGTAGGGTGTTGAGTGGTTCATTTAGCTCCACAGGCATGGAGACTTTAGAGAGGTCTTTACCAATGTTGTTTCTTAAGATATTCCACAGGTTAATGTTACTGGTGTCGGGACACGGAGCTGGCAGACACGTGCGACGTCCATTTCGGAAAGCCCCTCCTGTAAGCTCCCCATTCAAGACTGGAAGAGGGAGAAAGACGAGAATCACAATAAAGGATACTTTGCTTTTTTGATTTCATAAAACCCAGGAGGGAAATAGCCCTTTCAAATAATTCTGATTGTGCTTCATTTCTTAAGCCTTCATTATACTCTCTCATGAGTGAATGGAATTATTTTCAATACAAGGGTTGCTAATAAGTGCACAAATGTCAGTGTATAGTTTTTTAAACAAGATGTCAAATACACTCAAATATTACTCAGGATTGTACAAATCAAATTTTTAAAAATTAAACATATTTAGTATGAAGGAATCAAACTTTTGGTTTAAGCAAGAAGTAAAACTTCACTTAATCATCTACCTAACAGATTTGTCAACCATTTACCTCAGCAGATTAAACAAACATAACATTTATTAAACAATCAGTTATAAAAGGAATCAATGAGCGGAAAAGGATTAACTGATTCACCAGTGTTCTAATTTGGGTGTTGACAGAATAACCTGGAAGCTCAAAGGATGCATACTTTGCCGAGAAATGTCTGCAACGCTGGTGTTGTCTTCAGATATATTATCACTCACATCACTGATGTAAGACTCATCATCTGAAGCCTAAGGAGGCAGAAAGAATTCTTATTCAGTCTTAAAAGTTCAGAAAAATCAAATGAGTAAAAACAACAAATTATTGCCTAAATGAGAAGCACAGGTCATGGTGAAAAATATGTGCACGAAATACTTGAGGGTCTCCCATGAGCCAGAAGATAGGACTATTCGAAAGCAGCCCTTACCTCTCAGTAGCTCCTTGTCTTAGCTGGGCTGGGAGGCTGGTGCAGGCCAGTACGTAACCACAAGTATTTCCGAATAGTATATACAGTAAGGATGTGCAAACAAGTAGGCTCTATCCCTCCCTCTGGAGGAGTCGGGAGAGGTTGCCTGGAGGAAAGTACTTGGGCTGAATGTTGGAGAAGTTGTCAGAGGGGGAGAAGCACAGGAGGAAGGGAGAGTGTGCAAAGGTAGAACCCCGAGGGGCACCTTCGTTCTAGGGATGCCATGGAGTTGACGGGCTGTGACAGAGTGTGGGGTGAACAGAAGAGGATCCCAATGTGAAGGATTTTTCATATCAACATTAACGTTTCACATATAATCCTGTGAGGATGCAAGGGAATGATACTTAGTTTTCAGGAAGATACTTGGCTGCTTGCCCTAGGGAGGTCAGATAATAGGGTACTACACAAACCTGGGTAAGAACTACTGCCAGCTTAGATTAAGATGGCCACAAGGAGGATCTGGAGGTAAAGCTGCTTTAAGAGCCATGTCTGAAGTGTAATGGACAAAATCTGGCAGGATATTTGGGAGTGGGGCAAGTAGGGGCAGGAAGAAATCAACAATTAATCCACTTTCTACGTGAAAAAAAAACACAGAACTAAAATGAAACTAAAGGTAGCATGAGAATAAAGTTAAGGGGCAACATATACACTAAAGAGAGTGAGAAATGAAGTGAGAAGAGGGATATGAAAGGTCAGGGGAGAGGAGGAAATGGGAGCTCTGAAATGTAGCTTGTACAGCCAGGACAGGCTTCTCAGAAGGTGACTTCTGAGCGGACTGAAGCAAGTGAGGGCTCTGAACATGACGCTCTTGGGGAGAAGTGCTCCAGCCAGCGGAACAGCACATGCAGAAGCCCGATCTCTCCCAGCTGCTGCAGTGCAGAACATGCAGCTTGAACCTACTCTGTGGCTGTGGCAGGGAGTCACACATGTCACTGAAGTAACCCAGTGGGTTAGCCAAGTCTGTTGATGTGAAGACTCGAGGAGCCTTCTGAGATCTCATCCCAAGGGAATTCAGAAACTCGGATGGAGGAGGCTGACTCTGTGGCAAAGTCTTAGCCGAAGTGAGGAACAACTCTGAGACTGTCACAGCGTCTGCCCCCTGGGTGTAGCTCCTGGTCTACCGTCCTCAAATGCTTAAGACTGAAGGACCAAATCATTCGATGCTGGCTTAGAGCCCAGATAACATAATGAAGTTTGACTGTGACCTGACTTAAGGACAAGAAAGGACTGATCATCAGGGAAATTTTAAGTAAAAACAGTCATTTAGGAAGACCTGTAAGATTCAGGAACAAGCAAGAGGTGGGCATTTCAGTTTTTCTAATGTAGGTCATAGCACAGTCACTCTCCTTGTTTCAGTAAGGGTCATGGAGTGTCTCTAGCTAATTGACAACTCCAATAATCAGTCTGTTGGGCCCTGGAAGGCTCCAGGAGAATAGAGGTTGCAAGGGGCTGCAGCTGAGAGCACAGATCAGATTCTAAGGGTCTTTGATACCTAAGGAGTTAAGAAATTATCCTAAGGACTCTGGGGAATAGGGACATGATGAGATTTGCATTTCAGAAAAATGAATCAGGCTATCCAGTGGAAAATGGATTAGAGGTGCAAGAAGGGAAGCAGGAAAACCAGTTACAGGAATTGACACTAGGTGCATTCTTCCCCAGGGGTGGCAGCACTGTTTTGCTTGGACTTGTGCAGTAACCTGCTTCACATCCTCTTTGTTTCTGAATTGCCAGTGTCTGCTGCAGGTGGCACCTGGATATTCAGTTGGGGGTGTCCCCCAAACTCCAAACCTGGACATAAGGAAATCTGGCTGTTCTCAGAGAAATGAACTCTAAAGCCATCAGATGATTGGTCAGAGCCCAGACAGCATAGTGAAGTTTGACTGTAACCTGACTGCAAGGAAGGCCTGGTTAGTAATGGGAGCTCGGAAATGGGAGAGTCAGAAAAGAAAATGCTGGAAGCATATCTCCAGCGTGGTAGTTTCCCTGGGTTAGCAGAGTGGCTCACAGACAAAAATACCCTGTCCTTGTGGCAGAGTATTCCTATAATGGAGATACTACATTCTGGCCTTCCCAACCTTTAGTTCATTCAATTCACTTCTTTTGCTACCATTCCTTGCTCTCCCAAGAGCTCCCTAACTCAAAAGTAGTCTTCCTGTGCAGATTTGCCATCTGCCAGCATCCATTATCATGAATAGTTAAAATAGTATTTGGGCTTATGAATAGGAGTCTCAGTGACTCTGATGATGTATTACTTGAGATCTGACTGGTAGGTGCACGGCTTGGGGTGTTAACAAACTCAGAACCTGACGCAAGAATTCTATCTGACCCTCCCCCCATTCTAAAAGTGATGGGCTCACTATTCTTTCTCTATTCCACTTATTTTTATTTCTAAAAATCACTCATCAAAAACAACTACGACTATTTGTCAGGATATCTCCTTCTAATCTATTTTCTATGCATATGGAAATAAATTTTATCAACTATTTAATTTCCTTCTTTGTAAAAAATGCAGTACAGATTTGTAATCTCAAATGACAAAATTCCTAATCAACTGTGTGGGAAAGAGTTTTAGCTACTTCTCCCATCCAAAATAATAATAATCATTATAAAATAAAAAGTTAAAGTGTACCTGACTAAAATTCAGTAAAAGAATTAATTTCTACAACCTAAGGAAGATACAACCAGAGTCTATGACCTTGCCAAGCCTCACAAGCATAAAGAACAATCTAAAATATATTGTACACTTGCAATTAATATAATGTTGTATGTCAATTACCTCTGCAAAAACTCAAACCAAACCAAGCCAAAAGCTTTTATGGTAGCCACTGCTGGCCTCCAAAAGCCTTATTACCCAACTTGATAATGAAGCCAGCATCCTTCTAAGCTCAAATTCATGTTTCAGGTAAAGAGTGTGTGTGTGTGTGTGTGTGTGTGTGTGTGTGCGCACATAAATGGTGATCTCCTAATTCTCTCATTCATTCCATACTCATTAGCTAGTCTTTCTATGAATAACTCTGTTACCAACTTTTTGATTACCCTGAAATATGAATTATACAAGAGAGTCAAAATAATGCTTAATTATTTTCTTCCACTAATCAAATTTAAGAGTAATAAGCTAGAGCCCAGAAGTGTTAAGTGACCAGTAAAATGGTAGCCAATAGAGTTTGCATGTTTTCAGCTTTGCTACAATTTGGACACCATCCTATGACGTCAAAAAAAAAAGTTCCATGGTCTTATTACTTTCTTTAACCCAAACTTACAGTCAGAAGCAGTGGGGATTGACCAGTCGAAGAACCTTACCTCATTCTCTGACGAGCTTGCAGAGAGGAGCACCTCCTGGGCATCGAAGAACTCAGAGACGGACTCTGACATGGAGAGGCGGCTCTCATTGGCTACTTGCTGTGACACGGGGAGATTGACATGTATTTGCTCACCAGCCTACAGAAGAGAGAAGCATATGGTGTAGTAATTTTTCCCTGTGAGAAAAGCTATTTGTTAAAATTTGACTGTGATGTGCCAGCCAGATTTCTAGAGAAATTCACAGCATAGGTTAAAAGAGTGGTGACCACAAGTAATTTTGTCTTGCAATGCGTAAGTTCCTCCTAATACGTCTAAAGAATCCAAAGGCACACATAAGAAGACAAATCCTACCATTTGCAACAACATGGATGGAGCTGGAGAGTATTATGCTCAGTGAAATAAGCCAGGTGGAGAAAGACAAGTGCCAAACGATTTCCTCATTTGTAGAGTATAACAATGAAGCAAAACTGAAGAAACAAAACAGCAGCAGACTCACAGACTCCAAGAAGGGACTAGAGGTTACCAAAGGGGAGGGGTGGGAAGGGAGGGAGAAGGGGACTAAGGGGCATTATGATTAGCATACATAATGCAGGGGGAAATTGTAGCACAGGGAAGACAGTGTAGCACAGAGAAGACAAGTGGTGACTCTGTGGCATCTTACCACGCTGATGGACAGTGACTTACATGGGGAATGGGGGGGGACTTGATAATATGGGTGAATGTAATAACCATAGTGTTGTTCATGTGAAACCTTTATAAGATTGTATTTCAGTGATAGCTTATTTAAAAAAAAAAAAGAATCCAAAGGCATAGTTGAAAGGTATTGGTGTCATGACTTAATTTTAAATCTATGCTGTTTTGTATTAAGTGGAATTTAACAGATGGAGCCCCTACTAATACCCTCAATTGACTGTGGAGACAAGTTCATTCTCATATACTTACACTGTCAGTCATATTCTAACAAGTACACTAAACCTCAAGAATTATTTGTAGAAACTATTAAAGATATGCTAAGGAAAAAATCTACAAAACAATTTTTTGAGACAGAATATACAAGTCATTTTTCCAATTTTAATTTTACCCAATGAAATATATGACTAGAGTACTGAACTTTACTTCAAACTGTATTTTTGTTCATTAAGTGCAGTTTTATTCAGTAAATACTGTTTTCAATGAGGCTATTTAAGCTTCAACCAGAAAATATGTAAGAAAACTGTAATATATATATCCTAGTGCACATTTCAGGTTAAAAAGAAGACTCCAACTGGGACTGTTAACTGATTTTTGAGTGACAAAGTTTTAAAAATATTTCCAGATTCTGGGCATAAGTGTCATCAGAGATCAGGGAACCCACGGAGGGGAACCCACACAGCATGAACTGCATAATCACAGAGAAGCTGTCTTGGGATGGTATTTCCTAAGCAATTAGATGGTATAACCGTTGTACCTATAAGTTTCTAGTAAAATGTATATTTTTGTGCAAATATGACCTTAGTATTAGTTAAAACTTTCACCTTGCTACATGTACCACTGTATATAAAGTTCTAATATCACTGTTGAAAAGTGTAAATTCTCATGGTCAGAATAGTTTTATAAAGGGTTACAAGCAGAATTACAGGCTTAAGTCTAGCCCAAATACTAAATGTTCTTCTACCCTCTTACTATTTCTTCAAAAATTCTTCTGAAAAATGGAATAAGAGCACTACTTCAGAGGATCATTGGGAGTGTCAAGTGAGATAACACATGGCAAGTGGTTAGCATGCTTAGCACAGAGTAAGCATTTACTTGACACATCGGGTACTAATTATTATCATCAGTAGCAGCTATAGCAGCAACATTCGTGGTATCTTGGCAAGGTCAGGGGACTTCTAAGATAAAGCTTTCAAAACAAACTTTAAGAAATCTTTCATTTAGCACCTTCTCAGCTAAAAATGTTTTTTTTCCCAGCATTTCATGGGCCATTTGATGATAATGAACATATTTAATGAAGACTGAGACTGACACAGAAGATTCACAAGCTGAAGTAGATATATGAACTTAATATTCAGTGCTATCAGGTGAACACAGGAATAAATTAAACACTGATCACCAAGAATAAATGATGTCAAGCTCATGTACATCCTTCACACTGAAGAACACTGGAGTGTCAGTAATACAAATCTTTATGCAGGGAATCTTATTAACAGTGAAAGAACTGTATAAAAATACCCCAAACAATACAGTAGATTTAGATGCAAAAAATTAAGTACTCTCCATCTATTAAAGCTAAGTCTTACCTCATCAGGGCTAGGGATAATATTTACACTGACAACCTGATCACAAATGATAGATTCTGAATGTATTCTGTTCAACCGACTCCTTAGTTCAGCATTCTGGTTGAGCGCCTTAAAATACAAAAATTGCACATGTAATTTCCAATTAATAAGCAAGCATAAAACAGAACAAGCACACAGGTACTCTTTAGACAACAAAGTCTATGATGTTCTTAGCTATAACTTTTGGAGTTATCATAGGCCAGATCCTATTGGTAAGAAGGAAATAGGCTCAGAATTAAGGTATTCATTTTTTTTTTTGTAAAATAAGACTACTACTTAAAGGTTAGTGCATTTAAAGAGTTCACAGATTTCATAAAAATGATTCATGGTGTTTTTCTCCCTTAGAGTAAGGCTCATTACATCCAAGTCCAATCTACCACCACATACATATTACATTTTACAGCTTTGGATGAAAATTATTGATTCTTTCAATTTTTGTTGTGGTTTCTAAAATTTGGGAGTTGTTTCAAAGCCAGATACTTATTTAAAACTTTTTTTTTGGAAATGAATGACCAATGAACTGGCTTTAATTTATGGAATTATATTTTATTGCAGGGAAAGAAAATAGTTCTATTTTCATTTTCTAAGAGCACACAATTAATAGATACAATAGTGCAGCAGAACTAACTCAAATGCAGATCAAAAGGTGCCTTCACTGGCAGTGCAGACACTGAGAAGCATAGTAAAGAACACAGCCCTGGAAGGCAACTAACTCTAAGTCATCTGCAACATACTGCTTTCAACGTACCTTAAGTTCCCACCAGCAAAATACTATCTATTATATAACAAGGGTTAGTATATGCAGTGAGAAGAGAATAGCTCCATAACCGTCATCTCCCCACCCAGGCCCTGTGGATGAAGCCACATGCCTTACATCTATGCATGGGAACATGTTCCACATACATAAGACCCATGTAGCTATCTGAGGTGACATCAAGTCTCAAGTAAGAGACCTGTGTGAGGTCAAGACCCAGTGAAAAACTGGACAGCTCCTTTCCTTCCTATTAAAATCAGCAATTAGAAGATGGAGGTGGATGCTTTTAGAGAACAGAAGATAAATGCCACCAGAACTTAAGAGGGCATCTGCCCTGGGAATGGGCATTCTGCTTTTCTTCATATGGAGTCAATGAGTATAGTAAACAAAACACATACGCAAATTTAATATCATAATGATAACTCTGTATTAAAATGCCCAGGATAAACTACACACTTGCATTGAGTTCTGCATAGTCCTTGAGCATGGAGCATAGAACAGCTTCTCCTTTCTACGCTCCATGCTCAAGGTTTCTCCATTCAACCCAGCTTGTAAAATATCTGTAAAATATAACACCCTTGGTCTGGTGGGCTGTCAAGAATTGATGGATTAAAGGTGGACATAGATCCTACAGTCATTACATTTGTGGATAAGAGGTATGTGTCTAGCTTTCCAAGAAAACAGGATGTGTTAGACTGAAGGTGATTACTTTTTTAGCACACAAACCATATGCTTCAAAGAAAGAATCTTAGTATCTTTACATTCTACAAAGGCGCTGGGGATCATTTTTCCTGGAGGAAAACCTCAAATACTTGGAATGTGAGACAAAAACAGTGTCTTACTCCTATGCTTTATTCCTACTATACATATATTCATTGTATCATTCTCTCTCTGCCCTCCAGTATACTGAAAGTTGTCCTAGTAAATTATTTGCAACCAGATATATTTCACCGTCTTATAAGGGGGGCTCTGGTATATTGTTTGATGGTTTTAATTGCAGAATCACAGCCTTGACCTGACCATTTCATGCAAAGCTCAACTACAAGTTTCTTCTGAGTGACTGCTCCTTCTATTACTGAACAGTTCATCAAACAACTCCCACAAAATCTAGCGCCAGGACAAATAATGGTTTTCCTCAGAGTAGGAGTTTTAAACACAGGCTTGCCACTTACAAGGAAAGTTGTACTGTTGTTTGCTCCAGATATTTTAAAGAGTTAAATTCTCATTTAAGCTCTCATCTTGTCCAATATTCATTAAATGTGGTCCTGCCTACAGCTGAATGTGAAGGCGTAAGAAGGAACGTCTACCGTGAGTATCAGCAGGGAATTAGCTAAACATTAGAAGGACCATTCTGTTAATTAATATATATGCAGTGGTGGAAAGAAAGTTGTTACACAGTGCAAAAAATTTGGAAATAAGTACTCTTCCGACTCTGGCAAGCCCGATGGCAGGAAGGGCGAGCAGACAGCTGATGGAGCAGCAGTCCGCAGCTAGCCGTCCTGCCTGCCAGCCCCTCCTTTTGCCTTGATCACAGGCTGCCTTTGAACTTGGCTGCAACCGAGTGCCATGAGCTTGGGGTGCGGCACTCTCAGGACCATTACTTCCCGCCCTGACACTCGACTGTTTTCTCTGTGATGGTATAAAAACCGTGCGAATTTTGAGGGATACAGGTATTTTCAGTGACATGATGCTACTGGTGGTCATTAAGGCAGAAGAGCCCAGATGATGGCAGAAACGATGCCCGGGCCACACCCAAGGAGGAGGAACAACGGAGAAGCAAGGGAAAAGGAGGTAGGCCGGCAGCTGCGTGTGCCAGACAAAAGCGGGGGCAGCTATGGAGAACCTGTCAGAACCTCAGCGCTCTCTGTCCATGGCACACAGGGCCAGCGGCCCGACAGGGCGGAGGCGCCTCGAGGCTCGGGAGCTCTGCCGAGCTTCTTCACCAGGCAGGTTCTGGGCTCAGCCTCATGACTTGTCTTGTTAGTGAGCTGGGACTGCAAAAACTCTCGACAAAGATGCTCATTTCCCCACCCCTCATATCCATTTCCAACTAATATATCCGAGAAACACACCATTCCTTCCCAATCTATAAAAGAAGTCAGTTCTTATCTTGAGGTTCTGAGCCAGAATCAATTGTCCAAATCCCTGTCTCCTTGGCTGTAACTACCACCCATCCACCTTGGCAGACAACGGGTGAGGATTCACCCCAGACCGGGGGAGACTCTGGCATAAACATCTCCCGAATGCCGCTGTGGGTTCTGGTGGGGAACATGGAGCCTGATGGAGGAGGACAGGAGACACACGGCGGGGCGGGGCCGCCAAGGCTCAAACCCTGTGGCCGCCGCAAGACTGGCCCGAAGGGGTGAGAAAACGAGTATGGGCCCGTCATAACGAGAGCTTTCAAGAACCAAATCCTGAGTATCTCTTTAAAAAAATCACTGTTTTTAAAATAAATATATATTATTATATATTTGGGAAATGTAAAAAGTAGAAAAATATTTAAGAAAATTTGTACCTTACTGCCCGATCAACCAACTGCTGGTAGCTTGGTATATTTCTAGATTTTTTCCTACACATTTTCACATTATTTAATGGGTATGTATTCTATGTAAAGTACCTAGGCTGCCACTTATTCTTTGAACATAAACATTTTTTTTTATGTTGTAAATTTTTCAGAAATACTATTTTAATAGCTGTATAATAAGCAATTATTTTCTATTATTGGGCACTTATGGTGCTACTGATATTTACCAGAATAAATAATACTGCGGTGAATGCTTATGTGCATAATGGTTTCCTACTTCCTAAGCATTACTTCCTTAGACCAGACCTATAAACCATGGACCAAAGGGTCAAAGGATAAAGTCTTAAGGTTGTAATAAGTATTGCTAAATTATGTCCCAAATGACATCAACTTAAACTTACTGGATTGTTTTAAAAAAAAAGATATAAAGGCTTCTATGAAGAACTATTTTCATACACATCAAATCTGGACAAGTTTCAGGGAACTTTGGAATTCAGAAATAAATACTCTTGGAATTTTTTTTTCCAGATTCATCCTTTATTCTATTAATATGGCATATTACATTGATTGACATATGTTTGATTGACATATATATATTGAACCAACCTTGCATTCCAAGGGTAAATCCCACTTGGGCATGCTGTATAATACGTTTTATATGTTGCTGGATTAGATTAACTCGTATTTTGTTAAGGAGTTTTCATCTATATTTATGAGGGATATTGGCCTGTAGTTATCTTTTTTTGTGATATTTTTGTCTGGTTTTGGTATCAGAGTAATATACTGTCCTCACAGAATGAGTTGGGAAGTATTCTCTTCACTTCTGTTTTTGGAAGAGTTTGTGAAAGACTGGTGTTCATTATTCTTCAAACATTTGGTAGAATTTGCCAGTGAGGTACTCTTGGAATTTTTATCCTAATAAAGATCCAAGAATTAGTTTTGGGTATGTGAAATGTTGTAGATAGGAAGGATGGTAAATACTATGGGATTTTAATTGTGCCTTAAGTCAATTTTTTGCTTGCATTCTAATACATACTATATTTCATTGATTTTAAGATAGATACTTCCCCCTACATTTAACACCTCTGAAGTACTGTCAGTTTAATTGACAACAATATGTTTTTTTTTCAACTAATGAACAAAATGATGATACATCTAACAATTGATGGCCTATCGATTTAATGAAATTAGTAACTCTAGCTGGAGTACAAGGATCATATTTTTCTGCCCACATTTGTACCCCACTGCATTTAGCATAAGCTGTTCACAAATTGTGGAGCCAGAAATCAAACCAGTAACAGTGAAAAAGTATAATGTATTAAAGATAGACTCAAGTCAAATCTTTTATTATTATAGTAAGGTGAGAGGCTGAGGTTACTTTAGCCATATATACTACTTGATTTTGGTGTTTAGGGTACTACATTAGAGGGGACATGAAATTATAGCTGTTGTGAAAGAAAGTCATTGTGATATACAGAGTTGTAAGAAATACATATTTGGTCATTCAGGTGACCAAATGTTATTTCCCAAGTGTATTTGTTCTTCATCTACAGTTCCTGAAAACACTGAACTTCTAAAGGTGAAACAGTATATTGTCATGTTAATGAGATTTCTGGACCCCCACCCAAGGGCAGGGGCTGGAGGCTGAGTCAGGCAATGGCCAATAATTTAGTCAATCGTGACTATGCAATGAAGCCCTCACAAAAACCTCTGAGAAAAATTTTTTGCTCTCTTTCCCTGCTCTGCTCCGCTCTGTTGGATCCTGCTGCTCAGTCGGAGAGAGCTTCTATG